TTTTCCTTTTCTCATGCATTAGGGTTTAAACACTCGACACTTATCAGACCCTCTTCATGATGGCGATATGTAATTATGGTGTTTATTTGCCATTTCTCAGGCATTAGGGTTTAAATACATGAAAACTTATTCGGCACACTACTGTCATGATGACCTGTAGCTGCACAAGTTAATCATTCAGAGAGCACACCTGAGGTCTCGACCCAACCTATCCATCTTCCCGCCTTACATACTAGGCCCGATCAGCTCCCTACCTCCGCCACTCAACCTAACCACCTTTCAAGTCCATGTATTGTGACTAACAGTGGAGGTGAGAAATAAATGACCACTTAAATGAAATGATAATTTCTTGTCTCAATATTTATTTAGTGCATTCATGTTTTATGTCGACTAAATTGAATAAAATTTTGGTCATAATAGCATCAATTCCAGTTTTGGGCAAGAAACGTGTACGAGGACCGACCCGAGGAAAGAATGTTGAGAAGATTAGAAAGGAACGTGGTGATCGAATACCCGTTACACTTAACCGTTTGACCAAAGCAATAGAAGGGGAATACGCCACACCGCTAGCAGCTGCTCTTGGTCAACAAATTCGAGTTCATGCCCCAGTTCGAAATGATGGATGGCTAGAAATTGCCTTTGGGTTAAGAGAGTCCATTGTTACAAGAGTTGGGGTAATTTGAAATATATGTGTTATATATTTAACATGTTATTTATGTTAATCGCAATGATATATAAAATATATTGAATTTTATTATTTCCAATTGCAGCAAACTTTTGACTTTGGGGACTACAATAATGATGTGGATGTGAGATGTATTATTGATCATAAGTGCCAAACTTTGTACAGTGAATGGAAAAGTAGATTACACACACACTACAAATCCCTTAAAGAAAACAATGTATCTGACCTCAAAAGTCAGATACTATATCCTTGTACAAAGGATGATTGGGAATGGATGATTGACAATTTGTGGGAAACTGATGATTGGAAGGTATTTATAAAAATATTTACTAAAGTAACATCTTCCTGTATATTAATACCTAATATTTTTTTTTAATTTGTAGGTAAAGTCAGAGAATGCGATGAAAGCGAGAGGTTGTGTGAAGTATAATCATACGAGTGGCTCGAGATCATTTGCATCGCGAGCATCTATCATTGTAAGTGTAGATTTACAAATTTGAACATACTAAATTATAAATATATAATTTTTTGATTGACTAGAAAATCTAATGAAATGAAAGGTACAAGGAAGCAAACCGACTATTACGAAACTATTCGAGGACACCCACAAACGTCACCGACATGGGGGAGTGTGGATAAATAACACAGCTGAGGAACATCATGTAACCATAACTATTTCAATTTCAATAATAAATGTTTGCATTTTGATATTATGTTTTAAGCTTATTTATGTTTCATTCATAGGCCACTATGGTTTCAAAGATCGCTGAGCAATCTCAACCTAGTGTCACACATCCATTGTCTGAGGAGCAGATTTCTAGAGAAGTACTTGGGAAGAGGTCGGTCTTCTTGAAGGGATACGGGATCCGCAAGGACAGTACTTCATCTTCTACACATTTTGAGGCTCCTAACTCCGAGGTGATTGTTCTTCAACAGCAGTTAGTTGACCAGCGACAACAATTAGCTGACCAAGGAAAGCAGTTAGTTGACCAGGCTCAAAGCATGAGTACAATGCAAACTATCATTCAAATGTTGGCAGCAAAAAATGGGATAGATCTAGCAAACATTCTGGGGTTAGTTCCAAGCAACAATGCTGGTGAGGATGCATCGGGTGTAAGGGAGGATGAAACTTCTCTTGGTTGAAATAGAGGTAAATTTGACACCTCATTAAATTGATTTACTTTATTTAACCAATCCTAACATGTGTCAACAATATAAAATTATATAAACTTTGTATTACAATCCTAGCATTACAACCTTTGTATACAATAGCTTGATAAAACAATAGCTTCACAACAATTTTTTGATTAATTTTAACTATATTTGTATATTATTGTTGAAGTTAATGCATTAATAAAATACTCATGTTTTTATCCTTTTGTTCACAGGTTGGTGATGGATGTTCGTGGTTCAGTAGTGATATATATCGTTTTGCACGTTGGCATTCATTTAATTTTTCTTTGTTTCGTTTTATAGGTTTTTCTGTTGAATGTTTATATACTTTTGGGAATTATTATGTTTTGGATTGTTGGATATAGTTAGACGCATTTTAGGATTCTTATGTTTAGTTTTGTTGGATATTTGAATAAAATTTGGGATATTGAAATGCATTTGATATTAATTTGGTTACATTACTAATTGTTATGATGTGTTCAGTTTAGTTTTTACGCAATGTTATGTAAAGGTTTTTTTTGTATGTTTTACAGAGAAATACAAGTTACTTAGAAATACACATTCAGGAAGTGGATCAATTAGGGTTTAGGTGTAGTATGAATTGCTAAGTAATAATAGGTCATGGGAAGCTAAGATTGAATTTGTTTTAGATGGTTAGGCTGACAATATTTTAATCATCAGGAAAAAAGTATAGGGTGTCAATGTGTCTTATTTTATCTTGCATTTTTTATATTCATTTGTAGTAACTTGTTTTCAAATTCATTTTTTGTTCCCAAAAGAAAGAAAAAATGGCTTCATCTTTAATTCTGCTGGCTGCTACTGCTGCTGCTGCTGCCGTGGTGGCTGATGATTGCTGCAGCTGCTGCTGCGGCTGCAATGTTGCTGTGAGGCGTGCATACTGCCAATCCATCTGATGAAGAACTTGCTGAATCTGCAGTTGTGATATGTGAAACTTCTGCAACATGTGGTGTGTTGTGTATACAACTAAGGAAGTGAATGGTTTGCGGAATGTGGGTGAAGTTGCACCTGTCGGGCATGCATAAGGTAACAACTAGTATAGTCTTATTTTTAGACTAGGCTGTGTATGCATGGTATATTTTTTCATTTGTCATTACATAATTTGATGAGGTGAAAATGTTAATCATTTGATGGATTTATTTTTCAATGGACTAAAGCAAGTTATATAGGGTCTTATGTTGATGCCATAGTGTTAGACTCCACTTTCAGCTTTTTTTGGTCAAAGTTTTCGTATCGTTTTCAATAGATTTTGCTAGTCTAGTGAGCGATCCATTGTTTTCACTGTAGTATTGGTTTTATTTTTGGCATTTTAAATTTTTTCAATTATGTGGATCGGATTTCGTTGAATCTTTTGATTGTTTGGTCTTGAAATTCGACTTTCGAGAGCAGAGTGTTTGAACCTTGTTTTGTTTTTTGCTAGAAATGTCCTGTTTAGGTTTTTGCCTCATTTGAATTGTTTTCAACACTCCTTTCGGGTTAGATTTTATTTGAATTTATCAGTATTGTGAAGATTTTTATGTGTTTCAGTTGAATTTCAAGTTTCACTTGATGTCATACAGTGTTTGGTATGTTCCTCCCCCCCCCCCAAACCACCACCATATTGTTTTGCTTAAGTGTTCTGATACCTTGTAATTTCTGTGCTTCATATGTACTGCAGACATGAAGAGAGATGTGCAGGAGATATTCAAGATGACTCCTCATGACAAACAAGTTATGATGTTTTCTGCAACACAGCAAGGAAATCCGTCCTGTTTGCAAGAAATTTATGCAAGATGTAATGTCCTATGACAGGGGTATAGGTCTGTTCATTAACAGTTTTATCATTTGGTGAGATGTCATAATATGTCTTTCATAGACTTTCCTCCATGGCATTTTCGACAAAAGGAGTAAACAATTGTTTGCCCAAATGGTGAAATGAAATTGTAGAGAATTTACTTAGAAGACCAAGTCAGGTGGATCAGTTTTTTTGTTTATTATTGGTTAATTTCCCAGATATATAAGGAATAGATTACTAGTTTCAGTTTGTTTGCCTGAATTATCAGCCTAATACATGCTAGTGGTTGGTTCATATGTTCTTGTTTTAGTAACAACAGATATGAATGATAACTGTACCAAAATTACCCTGGGTCAGGTTGGATCAATCAGTGACTGCACAAGACCTAGTTAAGCCCTTGTTAGAAATGTCTTTTAAAATCTCACTACATTTGATATGCAGGAAAAAAATGCGAGCCCAGCAATCCAAATTTTTGGCAAGCATTAATTCAATTACAAATGATGGGTTGGATGGTTCAGAAGGTGGAGAAGAAGCATGCCCCTCTGATATCAGAAGCGACACTGGAGAGCCCACACAAGATGCCACTGCGAATGGCGGAATCGACCATTGGTTGGCTGCTAATTGGTTGTCCAATTTTGATTTTATTCTGTTGCAAATAAGTTATAAATGCATGGGAAATCATTTATCATGTATGCTCACCATGATCATTATAAATTTCTTACAACAAGCTCTGCTGTAGGTGGAACACCCTGTCACTGAGCAGATAGCTGAAATAAATCTGCCAGCAGCACAGGTTGCAGTGGGAATGGGGATTCCTCTTTGGCAAATTCCTGGTATAATCTTACCAGATTTAGGTTTTTTATTTTAAAATCTTTATAAATTTTCTTGTTATTTATGTCAATTATTTTCCTGTGCCTATTTAACTAGAAATTAAAAAAAAAAATAAAAAACATGAGAGAGACGATCCGTAACCTTCCGTTGAAACCAGAACAGAACACAACTCCCTTATTTTTAAGCTAACAACACTCACTCATAACAGAAAAATCTCTCTCTCTCTCTCTCTCTCTCTCCAAACATATATATATATAGAGAGATTTATTCTATATATGCCCTAGTTGAAGTAGTAGTGTTAGTTATATCTTTGCCTGAATCTGAAGCTTCTGGTCCATGGAGAGTGGTTTTTGTTCAGCTCGAACCGACGCCTTCCCGGCCGGTCTCCGTGTTCTCGTGGTGGACAATGATTTAGTCTGGCTTCGAATCCTCGAGAAGATGCTCAAGAAGTGTTCTTATGAAGGTTAATTAATAATTACCTCTCCATGCAATTCAATTTTCTTTGCTTATGCTTCAATTGATCGTAATACACTAAGTGAAAATATTGAATTTTGATGTCTTTGCCTCTATTTCTCTGTGTTTTATGATATATATGTTTTAGTTATATGAATTGTATCCTAAATAGGCTTCAATTTATCGGCATAATAAGGCTATTTCTAGTGAATTTGAAGATATTGAGATTGTAATCGAAAAGCCTTGTTTATCTGGATATTGTTGTTTGTATTCTTACAATTGTATTGTTTATTTGTGATTATGTTTTGCTGCAAATCTAATTTGAAGAAGAAAGAAATCAAAAAAAAAAAAAACAAACTTGGAATATAGTCAGATGATGATTTTTCCTCCCCTAGAATTTACATACAAAATCTATAAGTGAGATTAATGTTTAATTCATCACAACAATGGTTTCGGAGTATGTTGGTTATCTTGAAAAAGGGCAAATCCCTCCTAAGGTACTGTGCTTTAGAGACCTGTTTTAGGACTGAGTTTAGGTTTCTCTTTCTTTCTCTCTCTCTATCCATCTGTCATTTTTTCTTTTTTTCCTCTGAAATTTGATGTATTGAGTATTGAGTGCCCCCCTATTTGCAGCATATATCACTCGTCAACTCCCAAGTTTCTTTGAATATTGAAAGGAAGCAAATATACAGTAAGTTTTCAAAACAGACATTATGCTACTTGATTGTACAGGGTCCATGTTTAAGACTTTGTGAATAGAATTTTTTTTGGGGGGGATAGTTTAATGTCTCACTAATATAATGACGGTTTTTTCTTAGATTGATATGGTGAGGGGTGGGCCAAGAAGCTACAGATTAAAAATGAATCAGTCAGAGATCAAGGCAGAGATACATACTCTACGTGATGGAGGTTTATTGATGCAGACAAGCATCTATTGTCTCTGCCATTTTCTTCAATATTATCTGATGTCTGACTCTGCTGAAATTTGTAGATTCACAATTTAATGTTGCACTATAGTTATGGTTTTATACCTAAACTATCATGAATTGGCTTTTATTCAGCATTGTATATCTCAATATAAGTGCATAACATAATTTTAATTGGTCACTTCAATTTGTCACAGTTGGATGGAAACAGTCATGTTATATATGCAGAGGAAGAAGCTGCCGGAACTCGCCTTCTGATTGATGGAAGGACTTGGTTGCTTCAGGTGATTACAGATATTTTCTTTCCTAATAATAACCAAAACCATACTAAGACTTGTGCCCCAGTCAAGTGGGGTCAGCTACATGGATCCTCTTTCCTAATGCTTACTAATATTTATGTTGGCTGAGAAGTTTTAGTAACTTTTCTTCGTCATATATAGAATGATCACGACCTGCCCAAGTTAGTGGCAGAGACTCCATGCAAGCTACTACGGTATCTAGTCTTGGACGGTAGTCATGTTGAGGCCGACATACCTTTTGTGGAGGTTGAGGTTATGAAGATGTGTATGACACTTCTTTCACCTGCTTCCGGAATTATCCATTTTTTGATGTCTGAAGGTCAAGCAATGCAGGTAAATTATATCATACATAGGAGGTTTTATGTTTTCTATTCTTAGTAGTGATTAAGAACCACTTGTCCTTTAGGCTGGTGAGCTTATAGCGAGGCTTGATCTAGATGATCCGTCAGCTGTAAGAAAAGCAGAACCTTTCCATGGGAGCTTTCCAATCCTGGGCCCCCCAACTGCAATATCTGAAAAAGTTCATCAGAGGTGTGCAGCAAGTTTTAATGCTGCCCAGATGATTCTTGCTGGATATGAGCATAACATTGATGAAGTAAGTATCTCTTGCTAGATCCACCGTCAATATTCAATTACTTTGGTACATAAGCTGAGTACACATAGGAAAAATCATGTTCGACGACATTTGGTGGAGTTAATTAATTGTTATCATAGAGTTTCAAATCTTTTCCAGGTTGTGCAAAACTTGCTCAGTTGTCTTGACAATCCTGAGCTCCCATTCCTTCAATGGCAAGAGTGCTTGTCTGTTCTTGCAACCCGACTTCCTAAAGACCTTAGATATGAGGTAAACAAATTGGTGCTTTATTTTTTTGTTTTACACAAATAGTAGCTTTATACTTGTACTATTAACTAATTTTTCATTATGTTTTTGTCCAGCTGGAATCAAAATATAAAATGTACGAAGGTAGCGCAAGCTTTCAAAATGTTGACTTCCCTGCCAAAGTATTACGGCGTGTTCTTGAGGTTGGTTCATTCTTTCAAATTCCGCATTTGCAAAAACTGTTCTTCTTGTTCGAATGGTCATTAACTTTTGTGGCATTTACTTTTTCATTGCAGGCCCATCTGAACTCCTGCCCTGCTAATGAAAAG